CCTTCGCCATGTCTTTCTCTTTGAGCATCTCCTCCTGTTCAGCAAGCTCAAGGGCTCTGAGGGGGGCTCTGAGACCTTTGTTTACAAGCAGGCCTTTAAGGTACAATGCCTGCAGGAAGGAGGGGTGGCAAGGAATGGGTCAGGAAGTCATGCTCTTCTTGAGAACTCAGGATGTTCTGTAAATTCAACCCCAACGCAGGTTCGGAATCTGCATCATCTAGAACAGGCTTTGGCCTGCAACCAACCAACCAACCAACCATCAGTTAGGGTATGGGGTGATAGAAGTCCATTATCAGTCTCCTCCTTGGGGTTTTCCTTCTCATTCATGCAGGAGGCCCATGAGGCATTCCAAGCCAGAAAGAAGGAGGACCCTTCCCATTAAGAACACACATGCCTTTAGAGTCAGGAATGGTCTCTGGGGATGAGGAGAAAGACATGCATATATAGCTTAACATGATGAAACTGGAGAAGCCAAAAGGAGGGAGGCCTTACCTTAAGGAAACAGCTCTGCTGTCCAGATAAACATCAGTGGCAACCTGTGGCTATGTGGCATGATTCTAAGGGTTTCTAGACTTTGTCCCCATACACTAGTTCCAGCTCTTTGGGGGTGGGGTGGGGGAGTTCAGTACAGAGGGGGAAAAAAGCCTAGGTTTGGAATAACATAGACATGAGTTTGAACCTTCCTTCTCTACTAAGCTATGATAAACCCTTGGGCAAGTTGTTTCATGTCTCTGGGCATTCCCCTTCTATAAATTATGGTTGCTATGGAGACTAAATGTAGAGCACTTGGCCCATGGTAGGTGTTGAGCAAACATTTACTGAACATCCACCACATGCCAGGCTAAGTGTAACGCTTTTCCATGTGGTACTATCTAGCCAGGACTCACTCCATCCTTACCCACTCTTTTCTGCTCTTTCTCAGACTGCTGACATGGGGCTAACAGAAAACATCGGGGACAGCGGGCTCTGCTTTGAGCTGTGGTTTCGACGGCGGCGGGCAAGAGAGGCATACACTCTGCAGGCAGCTTCACCAGAGATCAAACTCAAGTGGACAAGTTCTATCGCTCAGCTGCTGTGGAGACAGGCGGCCCATAACAAGGGTAACAGGCAGAGATGGGAAGGGTGTGCTTAGGGTCAAGATTATGGCAGGTTAGCTGGAAAGTGGAGACCACTTGGGAAAACAGGGTGTAGGATGGAGAAAGAAGAATGACTTATGAGAATATTTAAGATATGGGTTTAGAAACGAAGCTGAGATACAAATTAGTCTAAGGTGAACCAAAAGGAAAGAGGAATCCAGCAAACTTCAGGGAAGCAAGAGCACATGGCTGAGCAAAAGAGAGAAAGCATGCACTGGACCTGGGTCCCAGACTTACTTGCTGTGTGACCTGAGCTCCTTTGTTTTGGTCCTGCATCTGCGTTTTGTGCTTTTTTAAATTCTCTGAACCTCATTCCACGCATATGAAAAAAATGGAAAGTAATATCTACAGCTCAGTGTGATGGGGAATATGAAATAAGGTGATATATATGGAAGCACTGGTAAACTGTAAAGGTATGTAAAAATGTGAGTTTTGCTCTTAACACCCAAGATAAAAGGAAACGTGTGAGTATCCGAAGAAAAGTTGGGCAGCTAGAATGGTCAATGGGGAGGATGAAACTACAGGAGAAAAGAGACAGGTGTTTGAGGAGGAAGTTGAAGACCACCATCTCCATCCATGTCGGGACAGTCACCCGGAAGAGTGACAAGAGACACCAGAGGAATGAGAAGGAGGAATAAGAGTTGGCAAGGAGCAAAGAAGAGTCGACCATAACAGGGCTAAGGCTGGAGCAGAGAAGGGGCAAAAGGAGGTTGGTAACAGGGTCTCTGTTCCCTAGAGCTCCGAGTGCAGCAGATGGTCTCGATGGGCATTGGGAATAAGCCTTTTCTGGACATCAAGGCCCTTGGGGAGCGGACGCTGAGTGCCCTGCTCACTGGAAGAGGTGAGGGCCCAATGCTGGGGGGTGGCCGCCAGAATCAAGACCTTGACAGTGAAGGCACAGCTGGGGAAGCATGGTACAAACTGAGGAAGGGTAACGAGCGGATGTCTTCCCAGAAATTGTGGAACTGATTGGGAAGCCCTCTGTGAAACTTAGGGTCATTTCAGGGAGTCAGGAGGGCTTTCCCACACCAGCACCCCACCCCTCCCCCACCCCCACTCTCTGCAGCCGCCAGGACTCGGGCCTCTGTGGCCGTGTCATCCTTTGAGCATGCCGGCCCCTCCCTTCCGGGCCTCTCACCGGGAGCCTGCTCCCTGCCTGCCCGCATCGAGGAGGAGGCCTGGGATCTGGACGTCAAGCAAATTTCCCTGGGTGAGGCACCTCTCAAGGGGTGGCTCCCCCCAACAGCTGGGTCACCATTGTGATGTTCAGGCTGCTTGCTGCTGAGCAATTCCTTTTTCCAGCCAAGTAGCCCCATTGCCATGACAACTATTTACAGCTTCCCCATTGCTAAAAGAGCCTTCCATCTGGTTGCTAGGGTACTACTACAGCAGCCTGTTGCTATGAAGCACTTCCTCTGTACCTCTCTCTAGCTCTCCTTGGGTTTCTATGGAAACTGCCTCAGCTTCCTGTTGTACCCTCCTGGTTCACCATGGCAATCCTTATAGTTTCCTGTCGCTTCTTCCCTGGTTGCTCTAATGACGCTGCTGACAATTTCCTGCCTCTTGGTAGGGGGGGTTCTCTTGCAAGTGGATTGCTATGGTGACTCACAGCTTCCTGTTGCTATAGAGCTTTTTCTTCCCTGATGGAGCAGCTTGGTTGCTTAAGGTAATCTAGGAGTTCTATACCCTGCTCTCACCCTAGCTTCCCCTCTAGCCCCAGAAACACTTGACTCTTCCGGAGATGCGTCCCCAGGACCAAGAAACAGCCCCAGCCTGCAACCCCCCCACCCTAGAAGCAGCACTCCCACTCTGGCCACTGGAGGGATCTTAGGGCTATCCCGGCAGGTAAGTCCCTGCAATAGAGCTAGGAATGGGTGACCTCTTCAGCCACTTTTTGGGTGGGCTCTTCTAATCTTTCAACCCATGAGGGCAGGGGAACCAGTGAGCCTGTGCTGCCAGCAAGGCTACAGGCTGGATACAGTCTGCCTTTGTCTTCTCCCCCACCCCTGGCTGAGAGGCATTGAGGTCAGAAGTGAAAAGGAATCTTTAATAAAGAGTACACTGCAGGAGTGGGTGGTAAGGGGAGAATGCCAACAGCCTGGTTTGGACTTGGATTAAATCTGGGAGGAAAAAGGTGAATTGACAAGGATGTGTGTGTGAGAGAGAGGGAATAGAGGGAAGAGGTCATTTCTTCTCCTTTTAATTCACTGCAGTTTCTCTCCCCTAAGAGTCATGCCCGAGCCTTGAGTGACCCCACCACACCTCTGTGACCTGGGTGAGTCAGTACCCCCTTTACCACCTCCCCTTCAAGGCTCTGCTCAAGACCGTTCGGGCCCAGAAGACTTCCCCATGCGCAGCCCAGGGCTTTGCTTTTCAAGTTCCCCTTTACATGTATATTCTCAACCATACTCTTTAGCTTCAAAACGTTCCTGTACGTTTCTCCAAATGTAATGCAGGCCCTGTGAGGGCAGGCACTCATGTGTTCATTCATTCACTAGAGATTTTTAAAAGCACCTTACCAGGTGAGATACACAGAGAAATATAAGCAATGGTTGCTTCCTGTCCTCAAGGAGGGGAGGCCTGGTTTGGACTTGGATTAAATCTGGGAGGAAAAAGGTGAATTGACAAGGATGTGTGTGTGAGAGAGAGAGGGAATACAGGGAAGAGGTCATTTCTTCTCCTTTTAATTCACTGCAGTTTCTCTCCCCTAAGAGTCATGCCCGAGCCTTGAGTGACCCCACCACACCTCTGTGACCTGGGTGAGTCAGTACCCCCTTTCTACCACCTCCAGACTCCTTCCCTCTTGCATGTACCATCCTTCCTCCCCGCAACTGCTTAGGAGCCAGCCTCTTCCCTCTCCCAACCCATCTCCCTCTTCTCTCCTGGTTTCTAGAGAAAATCCAGAACTTGGCTACAGCCCCTCCTCTCAGCACATTTTGGGCTGGGCTGGCAGTGGGACATAGTGAAGGACTGGAAGAGCACTGACTTCCTTCCCTCTGCTTCCGGGACAGAGAGGTCAAAGGACCAGCGCGTTTCCCTGCTACCACTATCTCTGTTGCTCTCCCCAACTGGGTGCCTTCCTTCAGGAACCAAAGTAGCCATACTTGCTTGCCGCCTTCATACCCAGGAGGTGGGGAATTATCCCTGGCCCAGTCCTTCCCCATCCTGGGCCACTGCTCACTCCCAGGGCAGAGCCCCGTGCCAGGCTCCCCGGGTGACCAGTGTTTCCCCTTCTTCCCACCCCGACTCTCCCTGAGAAGACCCATCCCTGCCAGGTTACCCATAATTCCTAGTGACTCCATTCTGGGGGGTCATAGGAAATGAAGCTATGCAAACCAATATATGAGGGTGGTGTGGGAAACTGCAAACTTTATATGTGTAATTACTGTTATTATAATCCTATTGTTATATTAAATGTATTTACTCACACTTTGTGTCCAAAGAGCTAGAAGCCGTCCTCTAGGTTGAGGTGATAATACTAACTTGAACACTTCCCCTCAACCAAAGCTCAGTGTGGGCCGGGCCTAAGAGAATGTCCCTTCTCCACAGTGGTTCCCAGAGACTCAATGCACCCTTTGAAGTTCCTCCTCTCACAACACACCCACGTCTTGAGGCAAAGCTAGTCTCGGTTAAGATGGGATTCAGCACATTTGAAAATGAGAGGTCCGCAGACCACAATGCATGAGAATCCCCTAGGCCACTTGCTAAATGCCAATTCCTGGGCCCACAGTGGGGCTGCTGAAGCCAAAGCCTGGGGGTAAAACCCAAGCTCTTTAGGTGATAACTAAGTGCCTAAAGGGGTGCCTCTTCCCTGGACAGAAAGGCCCAAGGAGGAGGACAGGACATAGGCAGACAGACGCAGGGTCCCTGTGCCTCAAGACACCTGTTTATTGGGGACACAACTCTGCGACAGGGATGACAGGAATCGTACCAAAAATAGCGACGTCTACAGGACCCCTGAAGGGGCTTAGAAGGGTACAGTGCCCCCCACCCCCACCCATTGTACAAAAATAAACTCTCATGCCTATGGACCAGCGAGGACTGGCAGAGCATCTCCTCAACAGGGGCACCATCCGCTCTGCCAGCCCTGGAACCCATTCTTTGATCCTCACCCCTGCCACTTCTAAGGCACTGTGACTCCCCGGGGCTGGGTGCATACCGCCCGCCCCGCTATGCCCTCGGTACCCTTTACCTCTGGTCCACCTGGGGCTGGGATATGGGTCCCACACTGCCCCCCTGCTGGCTGCTCTACCCAACTACCTCTAGTGCTCCCCCGCTCCTGCAGGGTAAGCTCTCTAAACTAACAGCCCCTAAGAGGGCTTCCTACCGTTCTTGCCCCCCCAACCCCACCTCTCCGGATCTCAGCAGCCCGGGGCCCTCCTCCCCTTCCTGCAGAGGAGGACTGGGAGGGGTCTCTCCTGATGGTGCTCGGACATAGGGCAGCGACACATCAGCCTGGGGAAGCCGGCGGCCCCGAGCCCGCCGACTGTGGTGCACTTGCAGGTGCAAGGCCATGAGCTCGGGGGCTCCAGTGGCGAAGGGGCAAAAGAGGCAACGGTGGAGGGCACCCCCGGGCCCGGCCTCGCCTCCCGGCCCCGCCCGCAGGGACAGGTCCAGGGGTTCGGCCTCACCGCCTCGCCCATTGCGCAGGGTCCTCCCAGGACTGGCAGGCTTCCTACGGGACCCCGGCGCGGTGCTGCTGGAAGGCCGGGGGTTCGAGGTGCCCTCCACCCAAGTCGCAGGCTGCTGAGCCACCTTGGCTCCAGACGTCTGGGCTGAACCCCGCTGGGAAGGGGGCGGCTCCGGTGGTGGCCCTGGGCCAGCCCCGCTCCTCTGCTCCCGATGGTGGCGCTGCAGATGATACTTGAGCGAGCCAGACTGGGTGCCCGCGTAGTCGCAGTGCGGACACTTGTAGGGGCGCTCGCCTGCGGGAGGGGGGTGCGGTAGGGTCAAAGACGAGATCACTGCCCACCCCCATCCACCTTTCGTTCAACATACAGACCTCCTCTGGACCAGGAAAGAAACGCTGCCTCTCCCGCCCCCTCGGATTTATTAAAGAAGGGTCTCCCTGCGCCCGCATCTGGCCAGTCGGAAGGCTGGGCTGCCAAAAGCCATAGTCGGCCCTCTCACTTCTCTTCCTGCCCTCCAGGACCCTCCCACCCCGGAGCTGCCCCCTCACCTGTGTGCACGCGCAAATGCACTTTGAGGTGATGCGCCGAGCGGAATGATTTTCCGCAGAAGGGACAATCTTTGCCGGTGGCCCCCCGGCTCCCTTCAGACCGGTTCCCTCCGACGATCAGCCCATTCTCTTCTGCAATACACACGTTAGGGGACATCAGAGGGGCCCACTGCCCTAACCCTATCAGAGCCATGCGCCCCAGACCCACCCTTCGTCCCCCTTCGGGTCTCAAACAGCACGTTGGGGGAAATGAGGGGTTGGATTTGCTGAGTGGAGCTGGTGCATTACGAGATCCTTTTTAAAAGGGGGGGGGGGGGCGTCACAGTGGGACCAGATGCGGAAAACCCCAGAGACGGGAGACCCCTTACGTACCCTGCGCAGCAGCGGGCCTTGCCTGGGCCCCCGAAGCAGGTGCCGAGTGCCCTGGCCCCTCCCCTGGGCGTGGGTGCAGCGAAGCCAGAGGGCCCAGCGCCCTGTTTCGGGCCCAGGTCTCCTCCTCGGCCTCCACCACCTCCTCTTCTTCCTCAGGCTCCTCAGCGCGGTGCCGGCGAGCCCGAGCTGGGAGCGCAGAGGGCAAGGGGCGGAAGCCTCCGAAGCTGCGGCCAGCCCCCGACTCGGCGCCCTCGCCATTGGGCCGGGCTTCGCCAGCTCGCAGGCTCAGGTAGCCCAGGAGGCTGGCAGGCTCACGGCGCTCAGCCGGGGTGGGCGCTGGGGCCAAGAGGAGCGTGGGGCCCAGCGGCTCATAGGCCAGCAGGCCCAGGTCAGGAGGTTGGGGAGCCCGGGCAGGCCCAGAGCCAGGCCCCGGGGCACGCAGTGGGCCCAGCTTGCTGGCATGCACCTTCATGTGATTCTTAAGGAACCAGGGCTCCTTGAAGCAACGGCCACACACGGGACACGCATGATCAAAAGAGGCCTTGTGCTTGCGCATGTGGCCCTTGAGAAACCAGGACTGGGTGAAGCTCTGGCCACACACTTGACAACGGAACTCCGGAGGCGCCGGGGGCTCCTCAGGAGCAGCAGGGGCTGGGGTTGCCTCACGTTCGGGCTCCAGCTCCGGCTCCGGCTCCGGCTCCTGCTCGGGCTCAGGGACTGATCTGGGTTCAGGTTGGGGCGGAGGTTGAGGCTGCGGGGCAGCCGAGGTGGCCGCCAGAGGGCGCTCAGGAGCTCCGTGGGCCGTCAGGCTGTGGTGCAGCAGCTCCTCCTCCTGGCTGGAGCCGAAACTGCAGAGGCCGCACTTCCAGGGCCGGTGCAGGATGTGCAGGTGGCGTTCCCGCTCCGCTGCCGTGCGAAACTTGCCTTTGCAGAAGGGGCAACGGAAGGTGGATGCTGATGGAGCCTGGGGCCGCACCAGGCTCTCAGTGGCAGGAGTGGCCTGCAGGCCCCCTGAGCTTCGGGCTCTTCCTAACCGGGCCTCGCGCAATAGCGCGCGTTCCTCCAACTCCAGCAACAGGCGTGCGGCGGGACTTCGCGGGCGCTCTGGCTGGTGCGTGCGCAGGTGCGAGCGCAACAGGGCCCGCTGAGCTGCACGGTGGCCGCAGTGTGGGCATTGGAAGGCCTGGGCGCCTGGGTGCGCCCGCAGGTGCAAAGCCAGGATAGAATTGAAGCGGAAGCGCTTTCCGCATACAGGGCAGGGAAAGCGCCTTTCGCCAGCGCGACTCTCAGACCAGCCCACCGCTCCCATTCCTGGAGACCCTGGTCCGTTGGAGTAGCGCTGCAGATCCAGTTCTCCGTCGAAGGCCGGCGGTGAGGGCGCTAAGTGGCCGCCCAGGGCGCGGGGACGTGAGCCCTGTGGAGAAGGATGTATATAGAGCAAAGGGTGGAGAAAGGAGAGCTATGTGGGGTAAGGACGTGGAGATCCATAGAACCCAAGGGAGGGTGGACTGGGGCCTACACCAAGTACACCCGGCACCCTTCCCACTCAACTTAGGGAAATTGGAGGATGCATGGGAATTGGGCTGTTGTGGCCACGGAGATAACTTATAATAAGGGCGGGTCAGAAGGTGATAGAGGTAGGGAGGGGAGGGTTGTAGGTACTTGCAGGTTCAGGCCAGGCTTCACTCACCTCCATGGACCCCTTTCACATTCTTTGGTTCTGGGGAGTTCAGGGAAGAGGAGGAGGAAAAGCTGCTAGTGAAGGCAACAGGTGCTGAAGAGCTAAAGCAAAAGAGAGAGATTTGGAGGAAAAGATAAGTCCTGATTTTCAGCAGTGGAAATGGTCACTCCCAACTCAAGACTCTTAGCACCCTGTATTCCTGAAACCCTTCTCCCTCCTTGCATCCTGAGGCAGGAGGCGGCTGCTGTCTCCAGAACTTGTACTCCTTGATTTGCCAATGCCCAAGCTTCCTGAGAACATAGATTTCTTCCCCCAAACACGTTCTAAATGCCTGGTCCAGAACAACTACAACCACCACCACCACCACCACCACCACCCCCTGGTGGTGGGGGAGACTATCACAGGATGGCCCTTTCTCCTTTAGATTGGGGTGTGCAGCTTGATGAGCAAATGGGGTGGGCTTGCCATGCTCCACAGTTATCCAAGTGGGAACAGTTGCTCTCAGATACCTAACTGACCAGCAAGCCAAACATCCTTCCAGACTCCACAGTCCTTCCTTTGCTCTTACCCTGTCTTTCTGTCTTTCCCCCTCATCCTCCCTCCCTCTGCCTGGATTCCTGATCCATTCATTTCCATTCATTACAGAGACTCATTCATGCATGGGAGAGAAACACCTCCCAGCAGCAGCAGTCTGGAGACAGACAGAGGGGGAGGGGCACGAAGGGGGAGAGAGCCAGAAGGAGAGGGAATGAAGAAAGAGTTGGGGGAGGAGTGGAAGTTAAGGGGCACTGCTGGCCTGGGGAAGGGGCTAAAAACTGCAAATACCGGCTAGGATTCATTCCCGTGTCTCAAACCTTGGGACCTGCAGTTTGCTGGGGCATCTCAGCCCCTTTGTCCAGGGCTGTTCCGAAGCAGGCTTTTCTCCTCTCTGCAGGGGAGAGGCTCGCTCACACAAGAGGAGGATTACACTGGCTCTGAGCTCAAGAGGCTGGAGTGAGGGACGGGGGGCGGGGCTGGGCCATCTGCACAGATAGGGGCTCAGCACATGCTCTGAGCAGAAAAGGGTTAAAATTCTCCAGGCTAAAATTCCCTGGGCCTGGGATG